CACACAACAATATCTTCCACTGCAGTAAAGTCAATAAAGTTGGCATGGAGAGGCAATAGAACTCTGATCAAATACCGCAACAACAGTTAATGTTAATGATGCCACACCAAATAAAAGGACACATCTTTCTTTCCTAGTGATAAGTGATAATATAGCTTTTGGGAAGAATTTCCTTTCAAAGATCTTTGTTTGGCTATTTGGTGGAAACTATCTATTGTGTAAGAGCTAAATATATCATTAGATTTTTGAAATTGCAATTCTCACATAATACAAATCTTCTTAAATGTTCAAGCTATTCCTTTGAAGGAATGACACAGGCCATATGGAACTTTAGGATTATGTTTATATAACACCAAAAATCTATAAAGACAGAAATATTTTGTAAACTATAGGGATACCTTATGATATAACACTCAACATGTGGATAAATGTGAACACCAGTATCATGACTAAATGTTTCAGTTGTGTACCATCTACCTCTTTAGCATCATCATTTGGTGGTGGTAAAGGTAATAGTACTCAGCTATTTAGGATGAGAAAGGATCTGTTTTCAAGGCTGTTTTACATATCCAAGATTTAATGGTATACATGAAGATTGGGCAAGGGTAAGACATATGGAAAGCTGGGGTAATAAGAGTTCAGACCACATTCTTTTTATTTTTTTTAGTAAGGCAATTGGGGTTAAGTGACTTGGCCAGAGTCACACAGCTACGAAGTATTATGTGTCTGAAGCTGGATTTGAACTCAGGTCCTCCTGACTCCAGGGCTGGTACACTATCCACTGTACCACCTAGCTGCTCCCCCAAATACTTTCTTAAAAGCAGAAAAATAACTACTAAGAAAAATGGAGGAAGAAAGAATTAAACTCATGTAGTTCTTGTCATTGATAATGCAGAATCGTCCTATATGCAGCACTTATTTAGACCACCAACGCAACTGCCAGATCTTACACTGGATTTGTTTTGTTCACTTTTATTATTGAACAAGTACTACTTAATTCGCTCTAGATTTGTAATTAACAAATTGGCTAACAAAGTCTTGTCATGGCCATCATTTAGATATTATCTTCATCCTTGTTATGCCTTGATCATAATAGATCAGAGTAGAAAATGAAGACTAAAAATCACAATTATTCTTTTAAAAAAAGAATGGCACCATCATTCCCCCAATTTCACAAACCTCAGCATAGCTATTATTTTCTTTGCTTGTTGCCTTTAACCTGAAGTGCCTGTTTACAGTTCTTGTTCCAGAACCTCTGAATTGTTTTGCAGACTGAAGAAGCTATTTATTTGAGTATTTATTTGTTCTAGATATAGCACCATTCCTCAAGGTCCTGTACAGTTAACTTAGAAATTAATGAATATGTCATTGTGTCAGTTGAAAAGAAAGATGAGATAAAAAGTTTCATTAATTTCAAGTTTCCTTTGTCATTCTCAAGAATCTTAAGTAGGAAATGTCGTTCCTGTGAAAATGAATAATTGTTTGCTGAATATTCTTCCATGTTGGCCAAACCCTCAGGTCTGAAAATCTTGCTCTCCACTGGCTGACACACAAATGCTGTCCATCAGAAGGAGAAACCTTCATAAAAAGCAACCAGAATTTCCTGCCAAAACATTCTTACTACTGCTGCTCAGAGAAAGCTTTCTGGTGGCATGACACAGTATGCCCTTTGTGCACATTAACAGCTTTCACTTTGGAAAATCATTACACAAAATTGGCAGTTGTGTTCTTTGGGTTTGTTTATTTTTTGTAACCCATGTTCTGGCATTTATGAAATTTCTCTGCATTGATTGGTGCAAATACACTCCAAAGCCCAGCAAGTGCTTGGACAAGAGGGAAATGTGTTGACAAACTAAACTTCTCTCTCCTCCTCTTCTCAAGTCTGGAGAGTAATGCTTTTTATGTCCTGAGAGATAAAGGATATTGTTGAACAAAAGCTAGTATCAGAGTCCATGGGTGAAGGCATTGTTCCCATCTCACTACAATTTGCATTTTCATCTTTAGGAACTGCCACAGTGAATCAGAACCACGTTCCACTCAGTCCACAGTTCTATTGCTATTAGCAACCCCCAACCTCCCCCATCCCCACCGAGGGTTATCCCCCCCTTGACATTAACCTGAATAGTTAGGTAGGTCCCAGAATCTCTCAAGCCATTTATGATTCTGTCCTTTATAAATTTGTCCCAATTATTTTGGAATCCATGATATATAGATATAGATATAGATATATGTGCCACCCTTCGACTATGGAGTTCCATACACTTATTTGAAGCACTATTTGCCTTGATTTGTCCAAAGTATGTCTAGCTCAAGTTTCAAAGGATTTGCTGCATTCTGGAAAACTTCAAATAGCTTTGCATCATAGTAGTAGGCTTATCTGCTTCCAAAATGTATAACCACCAGTCAAGACCAGTTAGAAGTAGAACTTCAGCTTTTCCTTGAACTAGTGTCATGAGAATTGTGGGAATTTCATGGTGAGTGGGAAAAGGAGATCACTGGGATATCAACTCATTTCGATTCACAGTTCAACATTCTTAGCTGGAGTCAAAGTGGAATACTTAGCTTGGTGTTTGTTGGGATCAAGTGATCTTGATTCACCACCCTTTTTGATAATAATCTAAAAACAACCCAGGGTGAAATTTAGACTATGTCTAGCCAGTATAAATAAACTTGTCTCTTTAGTCTGATCGTTCACATGTGGTCAAACTGGAAAATCATCACAAGAAGTTAGAGCTGGAATTTGAAAAAAAAAAACTGTTAAGCACCAAAGATGGAGCTTGAACCCAAGTTGATTCTAAGTCAACTGCTTTTTCCACTGCTTTTACTCCATGCTGCCAAGCGTATGAAGATAACCTGAATAGTCAATTATAGAGTCAATTTACTAGATACTTCCAAAGATATATCAAGATACTTACTTATGTTTTTTCTATTTTCATCCAGATGGTTGGCATCATAGAGTAACAGTTTCAGACCCAGGTAGACATTATTCTTAACCTGGGATTTTCTAGTGATCTAATGAAGTGAGAAAGTCTTATTCTAAACCAGCCAAGCTGATATTTCATAGTCCCAACTCCAAGAAAGTTATAAGAATTAAAATGATTCGAGATACTGCCTAAAAAGGGGATTGTGGAATTATTAGGGCCATTTCTGCCATCTCAATCAGGAGTTCTATGCTTGGGTTAGGATGATACTGACTATTCAAAGCCTAGCTTTTAGCACAGTGCCTGCCACATAGTAGGTGCTTTACAAATGTTTACTGACTGACTGATGTGGATTTTCATATAATTGTGTGATGATGTATTGAGTGTGTGATGTAATTGTGTGCCTGATTTCTTGAATGAGTATACAAATAATTTATGTGTAAATAGTAATTGAAGCAAAAAAAAATCTATTTGACTCCTGCAGTGACATTTAGATATGACTATGCTGTGAAAATATGAGATCTTACTCTAACATAGGTCCTGGTGCTTGATGTGGCTTTGATGTCAGAGCATCTAGCTTTAAATTCCAGCTCTGCTGCTTTCACTACCCACAAGACTTTGGGCCAGTCACTTCATCTCCTCCACCTTCATCTTCCTCCTTGGTAAAATGAGTGGATTGGACCAGATAAGCTCTGAGGTCCCCTATATCCTATGACCTGCCCAGGATCACACAGATAACAGATGGTGGTGCCAACACTTGGATCCAGCTCATCTGACTTTTAGGGCCAACCTTTTTCAGACAGTTGTCGTTGGGTGACAGAGGGTTCGAGTGTTAATAACCCACATAGGCAGACACATGGAGGCAAAGTAATGGAAAAATACATAGAAGGAAATCAAATTCAAGGCAAAGAAAATGGATCATAAATCTAAATGACTGTTGTTCTAATTATTCCTCTTTAAACAGATTATTCCAATCACAAAAGAACTAATAGAATGAAAGAAAGTGACTAATGGAATCCCCATATGTACTGAGCAAGTGATGACAAATGGATAAATTCTCCCTTTAAAAATATTTTATCATTCACTATTTTCTTTCGTTTATCAAATGAAGACTATTAGTCAGTAAAATGTTTAATCAATTAGTGAAAAACCAAATGAGCCTGTCAGTGTAGTCACTGAGCATATAATTTGTTTCTCATAATTATCACTAACAGTGAAGATTCGAATGGCTGAGTAAAGGAATTCTGGTAAGGTGTTAGGGCACTGTTAGCATGACTTATTCTCAGGAGAATAAGGTAGCTGGGCAGCTTCTAATATTTTTTTCCTCCTAATAACTTGAGCCTTAAACAAATAGGCTCCATACCTAGTCTCCGCCTGGCATTTGGAAAGCTGTGTGTTTCTGCCTGGAGTTGACTCACAATCTAGACGGCTGTTTTATGTGCTTGGTGATGATAATGCGCGTTGACAAGGTCAAAAAGATAATCCCCCGAAGTCAGGTTTACAATATTCCTGGCTTATTGGTTGGGTCCCCAAAGCCACTGAATGAAAGACACAGAAGCTTCCTGTCCCGTTGGGCTGTTGCTATTTGATTAAATGGATGTCTTGAGTGAAGACTGCCCAAAGTGCCATCATTTGGGAGCCTTTGTTTTTAAATCCCTGTTCTATCTTCTCTCCCTCTCTCCCTCTTACTCCCTCCCCCCATCCCCTTCCCAGGTTATTGCTGTTATCCAATTTCCTCTGTCCTAGCATTTAATTTACTAGGTCCAGAATTTGCTGTGATTTTCAGATAGTTATCTGAGTTTCTGTAGCCAGCCTGTGACATTTTTAATATGGGCCAAACGTATCGCTGATAAAACAAACTTTTATATATATTGCTTTAGCACCAACTCTGTGGACCTTGGTTGGGAGCCAAGGCGTGATGATTTGGGAAAACATCAGCATTAATAGTAGATGTATGCAAATACAGAGACTACGCTAATATTCTTTATGCAAGGAACACGTAATGGATCTTCTCCCCTTCAGCAACCTTGCATTATTATGGAGTGAAAAAATAATTGGTTCTTGTTGGACTGTTTCCAGGTGAACCAAGGCCTGTTTCCATGCCCCCCGAATATGGCTGGGTGAGGGATTCCAGAGAACATGGAATGCACAGGCGAAGTGGCAGAGGTGAGTTAGCCAATTCTCTTCAAACTGTAAATATGTCTCTTGGATGACAAAATCTCACCCATGAAAACTCTCTCGTGTCTACAACTGTCCAAATCAGGCAATATTAGGGATGGGAAACTTCAAGAACAGGAAGTGGTTTTGTTTGTGTCCTAAGCCTGCCCCTCTCATCATATTCCCTCCTAAGAGGCATCAGCTCTGGCTTTGAAGTGTGTTAACACCACCACCACCCCCCCCACACACACACACACTTCAACAAATTTGCTGGTAGCCAACACATAAGTATTAACCAAGAGGAAATAGAGGTTGGTAGGAGCTAGGGAAGGTGCTACATGGTGGACTGGGATCCACACTGGGTGGGAAATTGCTTGGCACTCCCCAGCACGCCAGCCACCAGGCCACTTCAGCTCCTCAGGTACAGTCAGGCTACCTGGGACTGAAAGGTTCTTACACATTTCCCTGGTACTTTGGGGTGGCTCTGTCGGCAAAGAGTAGGAAGGGAACGTTAGGTTCTTCCCCACTCCCACTCCCCAATTATCTGATAATTAACCTCAGAGGATTTATGTAAGATAAGAGTACATTTCTTTCTCTCATGAAAAAAAGGTATTGAAGATGTTGGTTTTCCTATTTCCTCTCCTCTCTGTCACAATCTTTTCCTTTCATTTTGAAAAATCCTAACTACCTGATTATAGAATAGATCTGACCAGAGAGGTACAGTTTGCCCCCTATGTAGCCCATGGGGATGTCTGGACAAATCAAGAAGTAAGCTAAATTTGATGCGCGTTCCCCCTCGCTCTTAGTTTCTTGTCTAGGCTTAGCCTTCCTGAGACTTCCAGCATTTGCTGTGCCACGCTTTATGTACACACTATAAGCTTGAGACTTGCTTAAAGTGATCAGAAGGAAACCTAAAGGATGTGATGTGTGTGTTTCCTTTATAAAGGCAAAAGCCTCGGCTGCTAATATTTTAATGCAATTCATTAGACTGAAAGCAGGGGAAAATGCCTAGATTTGTGTTTCCTATAGGTCATTCCTTTTCGGGGAAAGACAATTGGAATCATTTGTCAACAGTAATGCCATTAGTCTGTGCCTCCAGCCTCTCTCTTCTCTGGACTATCTGCTGCACAGATTCTAAAGTGATATTCCTAGCTCGCAGGTCTGGGGCTGATCATGTCCCTCCCTTGCTCAGTAAACTCCCTTGGTTCCCTTAGTACCGATAGGATCAGTTGCAAATCCCTCTATTTGACAGTTAAAGCTTTTCATAGCCTGGCACCAACCTACCTTTCAAAGAGTATTATTTATTCCTTCTCTTCACAAACCACTCTCCAGACATACTGGACTTCTTGGTGTTCCTCCCTCGTGACATTGAATTTTCCATCCGTATCTCTTTGTACAAGAATGTCCTCTCTCCTCACCTCCTCTTCTTTGCAGCTTGAGTTTTCTTGGAAGCTCATCTATCTTTCTTCATCAGTCCTTCCTTAAACTCTTTAGCTTCTAGTACCATGTCTTCCCTCCTCCCCATTACCTTGAATTTATTTTGCATGTGTATGTGTGTATATCTGGAGGTAGATAGTTTTCTGGCTTAGAATGGAAATTCCTTGAGGGCAGGGACTGTTTCATATTTATCTTCCTCTTCCTAACACCTAGCAAGGTGCCCGACGCATGGTTACATCAATACGTGTTTGTTGATTGATTATTGTTGACTGATTCCATCCTAAATGTAAATAGCTCACTACATGCCTGGAAAAAAATACCATGTTTCCTTTCTATGTTTTTATATGATCATAGAACTAGAAGGTATCTCACAGGTTGAAACCCCTCATTTTATAGCTGAGGAAACAGAGACCCAGGAAGGCCTTGCTCCTTTCTATCTTCCCAGACCTGACCTATCTCCTCCAAAAAAGCCTGTCTCAGAGTGTGGCCACTGCCTTCTCATCACTCTCTCCCAACCCCCCCAGAGGATGGAGATATAATCAATCAGACTCTGTTAAAACAATTAGGTTGCTTTTATCCTAGGGGTAATATAATGTTATGTTTTGCCTAGCCTGATTTCTGAGTGTTCTCGGTTTATTCTATAAAATGTGATTACCTCACTAGATGTCTTCAAGCAAAGGTTGTATCACCACTTGTATGTTATGTGCTAGAAGGAATTCTTGTTTAGGTACAGATTGGACTAGCTGTCCTCTGAGTTCAGGCAGTTATTCAACATGCAGTAAGTTGGAGGGCAGAGACCATGTTTTTGCCTTTCTTTGGATCCCCACTGCTTCAGCACTGTGCCCGGCACATAGTAAATGCTTGCTTACTAAGTATTTGTTGACTTACTAAGTACTAGGAGTACAAAGACAAAAGTGAAACAGTCCTTGCCCTCAAGGAGCTTACGTTCTAATGGTTCAGACAACATGAACATGTAGAACCATGTACCTAATACATCCAAAATGGACGTGCAGTAATTTGGGCAAGATAGGAAAGGCTTCCTAAAGCAGATGGTGCTTCAGCTGAATCAGAGGAAAGGAGAGAGTACGTCCCTAGTGTGGAAGACCGCCAGTGCAAAAGCCCGGCTATCAGAAGTGAAGCAGTCATGTATGCAGAATAGTTTGTAGGCCAGACCATGAGGAGGAGAGTAATGTGTAAAAAGACTAGAAAGCTAGGAAGGGCCCTGGTTTGGGGGAGATTTCAACTGGCAAATAAGGGGTTTCTATTTTGTCCTAGAGGCCATTGAGAGTCACAGTAATTTCCTGAGCTGGGGTGCCAACAAGGTGGGATATAGTGTTTTATCCTCCCAAATTTTGGAAAGGATGTAGATTGAGCAGTATGTAGCAAGGGCTCTTTACGTGAAGTCCACTTAAATGTGCCTGACTTTTTTCTCACATATATGTTTAGTTTGTTACAGGGTGAGCATAGCCAAGAGAGTGTGAAAGAGCCATATTCAGGGCAAGGACCCAGGAATTCATGTATACTTGAAATGTAAAAAATCTGCAAATAGGCCTAATCACCATCAGTCTTCTTAAAGGTCCCCTTTGGTTCTAGAGCCTCTGGTTCTCTGAAAGCCAGTCCCTCTCACCCAGTTCCTACCTCAGAGTCGAAAAGCTTGGGGGCCCTGGGCCTTTTATGTTTTGCAAAGGACCTTTGCATATGTTCACATTATTCACATCTTCACATTATTTCCTTTGATATGCAATCACTTTGTGGGGTAGGTATTCCAGGAACATCTAAATGCTTGCCAAGTGGAACTCATTTTACTAGAAACAGGAGACAGTCCCTGCGCTCAAGAAGTTTTCATCCTGATTTTGCAAATGATTCTCAGAGAAAATAAATAACTTTGAATATACTTGCCCTTAACCTCACAGTAATGGACAAATTAGGCAGAATGATGATAAATTAAATGCACCACTAGGTGTTACCAACAGAAGCCAGTATTTTGTACTCTGCAGCTAGAGTTCAACGTAGAAACCATCATTTTGTTGTGGTTAGCAGCATTAGGAGCTCAATTTAAGGTCCCCTCTTCTAAAAAAATGGATGAGAGACCTAAATGCCAAAGAATCACAGAAAGATTTAGAAAGATAAGATGTATGAGTAAAGGAGCTTATGAAATCAAGTAAATAACTAAGACACTTTCCAGGATTATTCAGTAAATCATTCACATTTCTTAATGTGTCAGGCACTGTGCTAAGTGCTGGGAATACAAAGGAAGGCAAAAGATAGTCCCTCCTCTTAAGGAGCTCAGTCTAATGGGGGAGACAGATGCAAACAACTAGGCAGAAACAAGCTATATGTGGGACAAATTACAGGTAACTTCAGAGGGAAGGTATGCAATTTAAAGAATGACCAGTGATAAGAGCAGGACAGGCAGAAATAGAAGGTGGCAATTCTGGACCAACATTTAGAAAGTCTAAAAACTTTCAACATGGCAGTTAGGGAAATGGTAACTGGATTTTGGTAGCAATGAAAACTGAGGATATTGGCAAAGCATAATTCTTTTATCCAGAGGCACACTTCTTCATGGAAGGAAGGAGCCTGAATCAGTATGGATCAGTGTTCTCTTTCATCTTTTCCCTGAATAAATGTTCATTGAAATTTGTAAATCAAGGTTTTCTATGTAGTTTTGTGAAGAGGGGCATTTGAAAACCATGAATGTGGCTCTAACAGGTGCTCCAGTACAGACTTAAAGCATCATGCATACGTGTTTCTCCCAAGACTTTGCTTTGGACCTTGCTTGTCACTGTATTTGGGTAGCGCTGCTCACTTTTGGGTCCAAGAAAGATACCAACTTCCTAATGTAAAGTCTCACTCCAGAAGATGCTCCTCCTAGAATAGGAATCGTTTTTAGGGAGTGTGGCCCCACTAGAGCAATAGTTTCAAAATGGAGATATGATTTCATCAGTGCCATTTGGCATCCAGAACACTCTCACTGCATAAGCTCCCTCCCAGTTTCTTTCCTCTCTGACTGTTAACAGCTATTGTACTGTTTCACTGCCATCCTGAACACAGGAGATCCTGACAAGTAGCCAGATTAAATCACTTGCCTTGCTGCTATCCTCTAACTAAATTGGAGACTAGTCTTGGAGGAAGATAAATAATAGGAGCACCATTTCAGCAAAGCATATGATGTATACCTTGGAAGATGAGCCTCGGTCCATACTGTACTTGAGGTGGGAAATGGCAAATGTTGTTCCCAAGGGCTTGTTAGAAAGCATAACAACACAGCACACCTGGTTTTCATACCTTCTACATTGTGTGCTCCTTACTGCATACTTCAAATGTAGTAAAGCAGCTCCAAGTACTCAGGAGCTTAGGATTTAGAACCGCACAATTGCCCTCCCTCCATTTTACATAGTAGGAAACTGAGGACCTAAGCAATGAAGTGGCTTGTCCATAGTGGCAAACTCAGGTCTACTGACTACATGTGATTGTTCCCTTTGCTCCTGCACACATAAATCATGTCCTTAGAAATAAGCACAGCAGTGGAAGCAGAGGGGCCAAGCTTTGGCTTCCCCCCTCCCCATCTGCTGAGCTAGGCCACAATATGTGTTTGGTGCTTCAGAGATTGGTTGTTAAGTATTCAATGCATATTAATTCATGCTGTTAATTGGCCTAGAAATAATGTACTAAGTGGTGAATTTAATGGAGATTTAAATAGTCACGTTGTTATGTAACCCCTCCCCCCCAAAGAAATCTATTTCTATTAGCTTTTAATTGGAGAATGTTGCCATCAGCCATCTTGGAATCATTCCCAAGTGTGATTTTATGGCTTAAGCAGGAGCCAGGAAGTTGTTATGTTAGGAACTTGCTGTTAGACCAAGTTATACTAATTTTCATTTCATTATCTGACTTTTTCTGAATAGAGGGATTGTTAAATATTTCCTTTTACTGTAAGGTTTAAATACTTGAATTTTTCCAGAAGCATGAGCCAACCAGTATAAAGTAGCTGCATAAAGTGATTCCAACTTAAAAATTTGATACTAGTAAAGCACAAGAATTTCTAGATGCCATACACTTAAATCAAGGCATTTCTCCACTCCCACCGTGGATTTTTTTCTAATCTGCAGACATTAAATTCCAAGATACAGTAAAGTGCTAGTATTTCTAGAGGCAAAGAGATAAGGTACTGTGCTTCTGTAGCAATCAGGCTGGACAAAACAAGAGCTTTTTGCATTGGCCACATTATGCCAATGAATTCTGACTTAATAAGAGTTCTCTTCTAGAGAGTAAGCATTCTGGTTCAAAGGATTGTAAAAGGCTGAGATAATGCTTGTATTTCATTTCTCATAAATCTTAGTAAATATATTCAATATGACAGACACTTGAGCAGAAAACTGTGGGTTGTGGTCTCCATTTGAAATGTCATATAGCAACACTCACAAGAGGCTGTTGAAGGAAATGAGGCTTTTTGCTTGCAGAGAAGTATAGTCAAGTATAAGCATTAAAGTGAGACTTTTCATCCCTCTGCCTAATCTGATATTCACATTCTTTTTTTCCTCCTAGCCCCAGAATCTGAGGGTTCAATGATGCAATACCTGGGGGATGACAGGATGTTGGCGTACAGAGATGAATCTTCAAAGCGTAAAGAAAAGAAGGATTCAAGCCGAAAGTCTAAGAAAAAGAGCAAACATTTAAGCAGCTCTAACTATCCTATCTACCCACCTATGCTGTCTTCTGCTGCTGGGCCTCGAATGGACTCCAGGCAGCCTGATGTCTTGAATTTTACTATGCCTGAGGGCCGTGCTATGGCAGTGTCTCAGGTAAGTCCAGAAGCATATACATTTGAGCCTGATTTGCCATTTCTTGTCCCTATTAGGTCAAAGAACAAGTTTGAAAAATAACCTTGCTTTCCTTTGTTAGAAATGCAGGCCAGGAAGAAGAAAGGAACAGTCTTGTATTCCCTTTCCCTTAAGCCCAATTCTTCACCCACAAGAGTTTTACCTTGAAACTTTCCACCTTGAGGAGCTAGTAAGCAAAAGAATGGGCATGATTACGTTGTAACCTACTCCTCTGAACTCTATCAAGGACCACATGCCCCAATATTGGCACAAACTTCCTGTTATCATATATAGGGCATGGATATTTCTTAACTCTGTAATCCATTGCAACTCCACTCCCTGCCCCGCACACATACATAAATGTGCAATAAATGTATAATAAATATGAGGTGCCTATTCTATACGTATCCTAATGATGTCCCTTTTCCTCCACGTACAATAGGCCAAAATGAGCCCTCAAAATACCATAGATCAAGTAATTGATAAGCAATCATCTGTCTAAATTCAATTTTGGTAAAGGAGACTATTTGAAATGACCTTGCTGTTTTGTTAGGGTTTTTACTCTTCCATTGAAGTAAATCAAATTTAAATTAGTGTGAAGGTATGGCATTTGGAAAAGTATAATCTGAAATCTTGACTTCCTATGCCTTACAACTTATAGCTAATCAGTTATTTCACTTGAAAAGTATCGAAACACTTTAGCAAGTGTGTTTCTTCCAGCGCTGTGAATCGCATGCACAGGCTGAGATTGTTCAACATTTGATGAACTATTTTTGATGGTACAAAGTAATATTCTTTCTGATGAAACTTTACCAAAGTGTTACCTCTGAGACATAATTAAGTTGATATGCATTGAATTTAGCCTTGTTACACTTCATTAACCACGGTAAACAAAAGACATTTAATTTGGACTGTATCGTTCGTCTCTGTGCATAAATATGCAACTTGAAATAATTACTTTGTTTTCCACTGGAACGTGTAATTGAATGTAACTGTACATTTAGAATGAGGTACAAATTCTCATAACCAAAGTGAAACTCTGAAATTGGTGCCTCTTTATCGCTTTTAGTTTAATAGAATGAATTTGTGATTTTCCCAGGGGACTATACCCCCCCAAAAAAAAGTCGTAATTACATATTATGGTTTTATGGTTCCCTCTTTTATAAACTGGGGATAATATTGGTCACTTAGAGTTAATAAAAATAACATAAGCTACTACCTCAGGTTCTAATGAAAGTATCAATATTAAAGCATTTCTTTCAGGGTTGTTTGGGGGTTTTTTTGGTTTTTGTTTTTTACAAATGACCTTTTCGGAATTGTGAAAGTAGTTTTAGAAATGTGCTATTTCATAGCTTTGATATTTCTAACTTAATAATAGCATGACTGTGGTAAATTGCAATTTATCAGTTAAAAAGAATATAGCTATTATGTCACATCTGTGAATTATAGTCCAGAACAATAATATACAAGATTTATATTTCTCAAGAGAGTATATAAAGCATTTATCACAAAATACAATTATTTAGTTTTAAATAAAACAACTGCCCCAAGTATATTGTTCTTCTCTGAGTGAGAAATAATATCCACAATCAGATTTTCAAATAAAGATTTTCCAAAAAATATATTTCTGCAAAATAGCCTCTCAGTGGAGTGTCCAACCAGTTAACTTCTCTGCCCCTAATACATAACAACATTGCAACATTTTAACCATGTCTCCATAATAGAACTGTATGTAAGCATTTATCAGTGATATCCTTTTATAGAATGCCAGCTAAACTAAGAAATAGCTTCATTGATAAATGATTTCCTAAAGGGCTTACCTCCTCTGCATTTCACCTTACAGTGATCTTGTTTACCTGGCTTATGACATTCTTGTCTATATTCCTATCCAAATCTTGAAGTGGACATCTTGAAGAAATCTTTAACACAACATATTCAACAAGGCACATTTTTCCCTCAAATCTTGCCCTCTTTCAAACTTTTCTATTTCTGTTGAAGGCACCACCACCCTTCTAGTCTCCCGGGTGTGTAGCCTTGGCATTATCCTCAACTCATTGCTGTCTCTCACCCTACATATCCAATTGCCACATTTTACTATTTCTACCTTCACATCTCTCACATCTGAACCTCTCTCTCTACCTCCACAGCTACCACCTTAGCTCAGATCCTCATCACTTCTCACCTAGATAACTGAAACAATCCCCTAGTTTCCATGCCTCAAATCTCTCCCACACTTCAGTTCATCCTACGCGCTATTTCCCAGGTTTTCTTCAAGTCCACATACGACCATGTTACTCCCCTACCCAGTCGACCCCAGTGGCTTCCTATGGCCTCTAGGATAAAATATAAATTCCCCTGTTTAGCTTTTACAGCCCTATACTACATGGTCCAATGTCTCTTTCCAACCTCATTGGATATTCCCTTTCTTACACCCTGTGATCCAACCAAACTGGCCTTCTCTCTATTCCATCTCTGTGCCTTT